TCTTGAGGTCTATAACAACTCTCCTTAGGAGCACATAAAACACTTTAATGTACACCCACTAAAAAATTATTCGGCACCCGCGTCATATTGTATCAAGCCGTAAGGGTGTCGAATAATATTTTAGTGGGTGTACAATGGCTAACAATTAATACAATTTGATATGACAGCAATGATTACATAGTGATGTGGTATCAACAAGAGTTGTGCTTTGCAATTTTTCCTACATACAGGGGGGGTGCTCAGAATTTGGATGCTTAAGATTACCTGTACTGGGAATTCAATATAAACTCAGTAAATCCCAATGGATAATATTATTAACCCCTTCGCTACTTTGCTGTACACTCGGTAAAAAAAGTATCTTTCAGAAGGGATCCAATGAATTTCAACCTGAACAATCCTGTTGTCTTGCTAGGGTTGGTAAGTGTGAGTGTGAGACATGTCCTACCTATTATAGTAGGTCTAATTTAGTTATTTCATTCAAAATATAAATTTAGTTCATTGCAATATGATTGGTGAATAACAGTATGCCTCATGGGCCTTTATCAAAAACCTTCGTTCATGGTGGAATTTTGTTTCTCATAAGAAGTGTAAAGATAGTTTTTTACTGGGTGTACATACATTTGTTAAAATTATTCAAGCAACAATATCCTGTTACTGAATCATTCAATTCCTTTACAGATATTTATTTCCAAGCTTTCAATTCTCACTGGGGAGTTTCTAACTCATTCTATACCTGTACATTCAAATACCAGTATGTAATACAGGTACTCAGCAGATTAAGATCCTTGGCACTTGAAGACTTTTTATCTATCAAAATACCTATTGTACTGTAACTCCAATCCATCCAGAGTTCACATGTGCAGTTAGTGTGAGCCATACCCCTCAGTTGGTATACAGTATAGTCTGCATTTACACGGTCAATTGAACCTGTGGAGGTCCGCGTAAAACGAGAAACGCGTAAACGAAATAACAGAACATATGGGATTAATTGAAATAGAGACTGGGCCGACTCCCAAACTCCACTTTTTCCGACACAATACGTACCTTGTAGTAAAAACATCATCATAATTTTATGATGGTATTACTACACACATAATATCTAAATAAAAAACTACAAATCTAAAGGTGTTTAACATTTACGTTAGTTGAAGCGATGGGTCGGCACACGTGGATGGCGGCTGGTTCCGAGGCAGAGGGCAGATTAGTTGCCCTCCGGTGAATCACTTTCACTACTCACAGAGGTTTACAGGGCCTCCCAGACAAACCCCTCAAAGTCCATATCCTCACTGTCACTGTCACTATCACTGACTTGGGCTGGCTGTGGTTGTGGTGGGTTGCGGGCGAAGAAGCCCTTAATACAGTACAATACTATGTTGACGACTAGCATTGATGTTGTCGAGATAAATCTGGATATACGGCTCCATAACTTTCGACAGATGGTTATTAGACACTTCATACCGATGCTTGTCTGGGTCGTTGTCAAGGATGAGCTTAATTTTCTCTCCCAACGCGATGATTTCCTTCACATAATCATGGCTTGGTCCAGGTAATTCAAGGTTTTTCTGGGGTGGTGGGGGTCCAGCGGAAGCCATTGTGAGGGGAATAGCGGGCACAAGAGAGAACTGTATACTCGGACTGAGAACAATGAGACTGGCCCGGCTAGGTCAGCGACTTCTGGTGGCAGGACACGTCATGTTACATTAAACCAATCACAGCTAGCGGCAGAGGGAATGCGTGGGTGATAAGGGTGCGTGGCCCAATCACAGTCCAATACGTCATATGACGTCAGCAATAATGGAAGAGCGACCTAATGCACACCCCTCACCGCGGCGCTTCCCGCATATGGTCAAGAATGGACCGCGTGAGTAAAAAATGGCGCGCCTGGACCTCTCCAGCCGCTCGCCGCGTAAATGATGAAATTTACCGCGTAATTAAAGCATTTCATTCTGGCAATGCACCGCGTAAATGACCAAAAGCATAAACAAAAACCGCGTAAATCCAGACTATACTGTAACCTATACTAATGGTCAATATTTTTTTTACTTATTTAAGTAAACTTCTTTGTAAATATTGAGCATCCTTATTTCATAAATACAGCAATATACAGTGTTGGCAAATAGCACTAAAAACTTTAGTAGTATGTTTATTGTGTTCGTATTTAGGGCAGTGTAATTCTTTGCAGACTCCGCTACTAAGCATCAAATGTCAAGTATTAGTTACTTAATTTTTGGTCTTTCTATTATCCCTCATGCATTACAGGTTGTGTCATGACAAATCTCACCTGCTTGCAGGCTGACAACACAACAAAAAATAAGACTTTGATACAAATAACATATCACAGCTTTTTTTTCATACCTGTAGATTAATTCTTGTACAAGATATATGTACACAAGAGTATTATAAAAAAGCTGCAGAATAAACAAAAGAAAGAATTATTTATACACATGCAGGGGGAGTGTGTGACATGGGGCTGTGCCAGAGGCAAGTGAACAGGAAAGGTCTGGCAATTGTCAAAGTCCTTGCGACACAACCTACATCATGGGTGGAGAATGGGGTTAATTCCCTATACAGTACTGAAATAACTTATGGACCCAAGTCATCATTTCTGTCTTATCTTTGATGTTCTGTACAGTACAAGTACAGGCAGTCTCCGAAAGAATTATGTTCCTGGACTCTGTTCATAAGTTGGAATAGTGTTAATTCCATAGATTCAGTCAAAGCACAACCCTGCCCATACTAAACAACATTAATATCCCATACATAACAAATATGTAAATATAGTGATGTTAAACAATATAGAAAAATGAAATTAATGAAAAAAATGGGATTTTAGTTACAGATTATTGTGATGAATGACTATATTGGGATGCCATTCGTTAGTGCTGATGTTTGTAAGTCGGTTGTTCTGAACTCGGGAACTGCCTGTAATCACTGGACTTCTTTTAAGCGGAGACATATGGCTCTATGATTATTTCTCCAGCTTCTGCTGATGTAGACCATTTATTGGTATAGTACAGTGTTTTATCTTCAAAGCTAGACCTGTCATAAGAGTTCTTGTGGTCTTTACTACTCATAGCATTTTTATGGCATTCAAGGGAAACCAGTAAAATAAGTAATGGAGAAGTATAATATATGTGCTTAATATTGATGGCAACTAACTGTTAAAGAGTAATATAAGATGAGGAAACTAATGGTGCAAATGAAAATTGAATGACTACACAGTCACATTGCGCTTATACAGCTGCTCCTCGACTTGCGACGGGGTTAGGGACCTAAATCCAGGTCGTAAGTCAAAAATGCTTAAATAATACATAGAAAATCTAAAAAGGGGTCTCTTTTTCTTCTCAGCACCACAAAACTCTCACTTTTAAGCTTGCCAGTCATTTTAAAGTGAATTACAAACGAAAATTTTGTCAGTACACAACACAATCACTAACGTCGGGACTCAAAAATACGTAATTTGACAAAATTTCGGTACGACTGAGGCGGTCGTATGTCCGGTGGTCGTAAGTGGAGGAGTAGCTGTAGGTATATGATACTGTAGTACAGTGACATCTCCGTTAGCAGGAACAATTGGTGCAGAGCACTTCCGGGAAAGAGAGATTTCCAGGTAACGAGACAACTTTCTCAAAGCCGGAAAAAAAATCCCTCATCCCTGGAATTTTCCGGGTAACGGAAAAATGTTCTTGGAAGTTCCAGAAATTGTGCCAGATTTTCATCTTTCAAACCCAGAAAAAACTCCATCCCCGTAATTTTCCGGGGTTTGTACCGGGAAAATTTTTTCAGAATTTTCCGGATAATGTGCCCCGAGAACATTTTAATTCTGGCTATCAGGGAGTTCCGGGTTTGAGGGATTCCAGCTAACAGAGATATTACTGTACATAGATTATGGAGCCCATCATCCTACAGCAGGCATAGAGACAATGTTGAAGAATATGCATACTACAGTAAACAGGTATATATAAAAATTTATTTACCAACAATGAAAGCATGTTTTTATACATGTCTATTATAAAAAAACTTCAAGAGCTGTAGCGAAGGGTTACACAACACATATTATGCATACAGTGACATAGTTAATAACCTACAAATTATTAGTTCCTGGAAGACAAATGTTTTGTTAAATTCATAGGTGGCTACTAAGAACTTAAAACATTACTACCTGTACACATATATTGATACAGTAAAGCAAATGAATATTTTGTTAATAACAGCATTTTGAAGGAAACTATACACACCTGTTCAATAAGGTTTAGCAACCACTACTCCACGCTCTCCAGCAATACTGTGATTCACCATTTTGCATATAACTGCAAAGAATTATTCATTGTGTAATACTGACACAGTAAATCAAATACCAGTCTCCTGTTTTGGCAAAGAAGTAAAAAATAAATACTTTAAAACATTAAATGTAACATGAAAGACAATGTATAACAAGGAAAAAAAATCAAAATATAAAGACCATCTTGTACAGACTAAAATACAGTCTCATTTGAAATACAAGTTCATGAAATTCTCTAATTTGACTGGATATGGCAACACACAACTTGATTATGCAACAGAGGTATTTCCAATTCTTCCTTAAGACTGCTCTTTCTGCACTAACACCAAATAACCAAGGAGCAAAACTGGGCACAGCAGTTACAATGCCACTATGGAGCTACATGTGGCCAAGTGTTTTTGGAGTAATCTATAATAAAATCTAACTCTGCTCCTCCGATACAATCATACTTTCTCACCCAAAAGAATACTCATACACTGGTACAGCCCACTTGTAAATTACAAGCCGAGATATGAACAGATGGGCCTTACATCAATTTACAACTCTCTAGAGTCTAGATTTTGTTTAAGGCAGTATCATTCTTCTGATCATTCTAATAATTTTTTTTTTAATGAGGATGAATCGCACTATGAAGATTAGTTCTTTCAAAATCATTCTTTGCTGAAAATAGCATATCACTTCTGAGTTATTCCAAATGAGGTTAATTATGTTAGTGGTGCAGACTGCTGGTAGAGGTAATAAGTATAGATGAGTTTTGGATTCCCTATACATAATACACTCCCTACAAGGTACAACTCCTTCTAGTGCCCAAATTTGCATTACCTTGCCATGGTGTGGAGGCTCAAATGAACCACATTCAAATACCTAGGATAGGTATAAAGTTCCCATCTTGCAACCTAACATGAGGTTGAAAATGGATCATTGCTAAATCCACAAATTCCACAGTTGATGGGCTGTTTACCAGAGTGAGGTATGAGTGACCTCTACACCACATAGTTCATTCCCAACTTTTCCTACTCCCTTTAATTAATATTCTGACGAGAAAAGGTTTGGGGGGCATCCATTCTCATTAACTTCATCTCTTGCCCTTGAACAACCATGGACAGACAATTAACGATTTTCGGGTGTTCCTGGTGGATCATCGTCACTTTAAGGTTCCACCACATTGCCTCCCATGATTGCAGGCAGTGTGCTACCAAGAGCTAGCAAGTTCTGCCTGAGCAAAATAAAGGCTTGGACATTAAACACAGAGGTAAGATTAAGAATAAACAAGCACAAAACAAGATTGGAACAAGGAATGCGAGGACATTATATGAGACCGGTAAGTATGTAATTCTTTCAAGTGAAATGAAAAGACTGCAGTGGGACATTCTGTGATTAAGTAAAGTAAGATGGACAGGTTCAAATAGCATTAGCGGTAAAGATTTTTATTTTATATATTCAGAGGGTGAAAAGCATGAGAAAGGTGTTGGTATTCTTGTATACCAGAAGTTGAGGGATATTGGGCAGTATCAGATAGTTTTGTTAGTGAAGTTTAATGCTAAACCTATGGACTTGGTAATAATGGAGGTTTATGCATCAACAAATCATAATAGGATGAAGTCTTAGAACATTTTTATGAATATTTAAAGAAAACAAAAGACACTGAATTTTAATGAATGTCTGATTATAATGGGTGATTTTAATGCAAAATTTTGGAAAGGGAAAGAAGTACCTAGTAATTTTAACGCAAAAGTTGGGAAAGGGAAAGAAGCACCAGAAGTAGGAGCACATGGATTGGGTAGTAGAAATGAGGAGAAATATTATTTGACTTTTGTCAGGAAAACATGATGATAATTGGATATACAGTACATTCATGGTTTGAACAACACCCTAGGCATCTCTAAATATGGGTCTCATACAAGGACAATGTAAATAACATTGTCAGGAATCAAATAGATTACATTTTAATTCAGAAATTCAATAACCCAAACCAAGGGGCAGATTTTGAGTCAGATCACATCCCAGTTATGAAATTGAGGCTGAAGCTTAAAAAATTAAGAAGAAAAACTATGGACAAGATCAAATGGGAAGTACACCAAGGTTAGCAAAAACTCCAAAGAGAAATGCACAGAAAAAGAAAAAATTAGATACTTTGGTCATATAATTATGGAAGAGGGGATAAAAGTAAAAATATTAATGGGAAAAGTTGAAGCCAGGAGGACATTGGGAAGGCAAAGACTGGGATGGATGAAATTAAAAAGTGGATCCCCAAAGAGATACAAAATCTTGTAGGATTGGTAAAATCACCCCGAAAAAGTTAAGAATGGAGGACTGTGGTCGCCATCCCTCAGATATGAGGACAGTATGCTGATTGATCCTACAAAGGCATTGTTGGGTGATGAGAGAGCTGGTAACTGTTATGTCAAAACCTTAGACAGGGCAAAAGTGGGGAAAATGATATAATGGATGATTCAAGAAAATCTTTAGATATCCTGTTTACCTATTACAAAGACTGTACAATATTTACAAGTATCTTTTCATACAGTTTTACCAAACATAAAGACATACACAATTTGATCAAGGGTTATACATTTGAAACAGGTTTTCATTTACTGCATCAATATACACCTGTATCACAAATATTAATACTTAGGTATTAAAAAAAATATACACAAAGTACAGATCCTGTAAAAAAGAGTTTCCTTTTGTATGACATACAGTATACTGCACTATAATAAATTACCGGGGATTTGAATCAAATATGAAATAAAAACACACATGGAAACTCTGTCAACACATTTTGTAAGTAGAGAGCAAATAGTACACAGTAGTTGTCTGTAGCTGTGGTTGACAAATTTGGTTATTAATAATTAATCTATGGACAGTATTTTGTTGACATACTAACACTCTGATGTTACCTAAATTTCCATTACCTATACTGCACTGAACCCAGGTTTCCTCTCATAATATAAACCAGCATTTCAAGGATGTACAGTATGCTACTTTGCCGACTGATCTATAAGGGGGTGGGTTATATTTCAAACACAAGAGAAGAAAATAACTCCACAAAAATGGTTTTAACAGTTTTCAGTCTTCACTTTTCAAGCAGTTGGAGAATTTTGAAGAAATTCACATCATACAATGTACAGTATTGTCTTTGCATATTTACAGTGCCTGTCTTGATGAACAGCCATAAACTTAAAGTGACACTAATTTTTTTCTTTAATTCAATCACATATTACCAAATTTTCAATATTGTCCCTTGTAGCTTTTTTAAGTTACAGCCTCTGAATCTCCCAAAACATAAAATCACTGGTTTCTAAGACAAAAAATACAAAAAAACACCATTGTATGTCGAGTAATGTAGAAAGTATGAAGAGTGACAACAATGATGGGAGTGAAAACAAAGCAGTGTTCAATACAAAACACAGGCATGCACTAGTGATTGCTTAGAGGTGTAAATTTGTGTGTGTATAATTAGCAAGGCTGACCTTGCAAATTGACTGTAACTGGTATCCTACTGTGGCCAAATTTTTTAAAGGCACAGATTTGTGGAATAAGCATTAAAAACGCAGGGCTAATCATTTGCTAAAAAACTAAATTTAATTGTACGACATAAATCTTTATTGTTTCAAACTTACACTCAAATGCATATATAAATGATATGATTCCGAGTTAAACAATTTAGTGAGCATAAGGTTACCCTAACTTGAACAAATTTCAATTAGCATGTCAAAGATGAAAACAAAATACTCTGATAAACAATAAAATTGATATCTAGCATATCATCAGATTCAATACAGCATATATTTTATGTAAAAAAAAACTCCTTCCACACTCAAACCAACCCAGTTCAGTCAGGCAGTCAACCATTTGACACACAACATGTGGCTAACGTGCTGTGTGTATACCATGATGTCACAGGGGGAGGGAGCGTGGCCACGCAGTTATACAGGTATCTCACCGCCTCCACACACGTTCACTTCCCACACATACACACCCATGCTCTTAATTTTTCTCATTTTATAGTTTTATATTAAATTTTCTTTATTTCTAAGCCACATCGTTTCTATAGAGTGAACTGAGTGTTAAAGAAGTCCATTTTTTCGCTAATTCGTTCACTTTCATGAGTATATAAAAAAAAATTCTAATAAGCACAGACAAGGGATAAACACGGAAATTGGCTCTCATGAAAATGCACGGATCAGCAGAAAATGGACTTCTGAGACACGAGTTTGCGAGGTCAGCCTGTATATACAGGCAGTCCCCAAGTTACGAACGGGTTACGTTTCTGGACCCTGTTTGTAAGCCAGAACAGTGTTAATTCCATAGTGTAATAATGTAAATACTGTAAATAAAGTGATGCTAAATAGTATATAACATAGAAAGTAATGTAAAAAAATGGATTTTAATTAAGAGCCTTTGGTGATGAATATATTAGGATCTTCTTCGTAAGCTGTGTGTTCATAACTCAGGGACTGCCCGTATAATCGTATAATATATATATATATATATATATCTTTGTTTAGGTGTGGTGTATGATATTTTATATTTTGCCATTGATCTTATTGAATCTATCATATTTCTTGACTATTTTGAGAGGCACAAATAATGATCAAAACATTGCTAACAAAATTAAGAGGTATTAATTGTTTTGTTCTGAAAATAATAGCATCTTACATTGACAAAACAAACTTGAAAGAGAGTTGACAGAATTAACTTGAGAGAGAGAGTTGACAAAATAAACTTGAGAAAGAAAGAGACTAAATTCAAGATTTTGATAAGAAAAATTACTAAGAATCATAGTCTTCATCAATCTGGTTATTAGTAGAGGACTGGGAATGAGCAGGTGATGAAGTCAGGTGTGAATTTGAAAGAGGTGGCCGGTTTTGCAAGGCGTGTACAGAGGTTATCACTGGAACTGGGACTCCAAATGATGGTCGCACTCCAGGAGTAAGTGGAGTGCGAACTGGGGAGCTCGAGGCTTTGGTGGTTGGTGGTACCCCTCTTAAAGGCAGAGTAGTACAAGCTGTAGGTAATCCAGGGATAGTAATCTGAAAGCCAGATATTGGGCTAGAGGTTGTTGCACTAGTAGTGAGTACTGTAGAAGGGGGTGAGACAGGACTATGAGAAACCTCACTCTTTTTTCCAGGAATATCTCCAAGGTTGAAGCTTCCACCAATTGAGATTTGCAATGCAGGAGCTTTTGGTGATCCTTCAGTTTTCCTGAAACAAATTATAAAGACACCAATAAGAATATAGAGGATAACTTAAGGTGAAGTTCTGCCAATGACAAAGTAACTATAGAAGGAATCCTACCATAAAAAAAAGTCATGCCTTTATACAGCAAAAGCTATTTTCTATTTCTTATCAGGACCCACATTCCCATGATCTACAAAGAGAAACATTTACACTAAACTCCAGACCACACAAACATTTACTATAAAATAACCAAACTCTACCCTTCTCCAACTGCAACATCTAGTGCAGTGGTTCTCAAACTTTTTTCCAGTTTTACCCCTATTTAAAGTCTGACATGTTAGAATTACCCCAACGTAAAATTTTACTCCTTACTTATCAATTCAATTAAGTTTAAATTAGCTCATAACTCATTGTTTTCACCAATATAGTACCGGGTATTATGAAAATTACAATGTGACCAAGCTTTCATTACCTCCAATCACAGAGTCACTGCACAACAAACACCCACTCACTGCAGCTTCTGGAGTGATACGGACAGTAAACTGACTCAATTTAAGGCGACTTGAGGCGAATCCTTCACGAGTTGCCAAACGCGGCAAACATAAGAGTTATAAGTGTTAAATACGAAGTTACCCCACCGTGCCAACAAAAGCATATTACCCCAGCCAAAATGTAGTTTTTACCCCAGTTGGGGTAATTACCCTGAGATTGAGAACCACTGATCAAGTGTAACAGTGTATATGTCTTTAAATGTGCATAATGCAAAAAAATAAAGGGGATTGGGTACAAGCAATAAATAAGCATCTACATCAAAACTGCAGCTCTATACAGTACAGTACTTACATATTGCCTGGATGCAAGAAAAGGAGAAACAAGTGGAAGGTGTACAGTAATTTTAAAACTGAAAAGGGTGACTAACGAATTGTTCACTGACTGTATTGGCCACTGCTCAAACATGGCAGGCTAGGTTTATACCAGGGCTGTGGAGTCGGAGTCGGAGGAAATATCAGCTTGCGGAGTCGGTAAAATTGTCCAGACTCCGACTCCGACTCCGACTGAAGCTATTCTGTTCCTAAGAACAAATATATGAACTCAGGCATATTCATTGCAGTGATTCTACTGATCCCACTAATTTTCTTAAATTATTAAAAGAATTTATTTCCATTTTATAAGCATTATTATGAATTTATTGTAGCAGGCACAGTATAGCACTATAATTTTGGACGATAGTCTCTTCTTTACCATTTGAAATTTTGAATTATATCAAATTTTGTTTCGTTGAAAACTGCACAGAGGCTCTCAGCTACAAAACAATTAGCTACAACCTGTTTTTGGTGAGATTAAGGCAAATTTAATTTAATAACTTAATCATGTAAGGTTTATCCATTTTCCTTAATAAGGTATTCATTTCTTTAATGTACATAAATATATAACTTTACTTTAAAAGGAATTGTAGGATCATCATTTAGATCCACATCAGATTATGAGCTTAAACAAAATTCATATGCTGAGATCGAACTTTTAGATATACATGTAAATGGTGTTTTCTAGTTAATATCTTGAATTCTTAATAAATTTATTTTTCTTTTGATTGAAACTTTGAAAGTCAAGCCTATCATCTTTTTGTAGTTCTTAAATATCGTCCAGATCATTAATAAAGCTGTAGCAGTATAGCCACGGTGTTTTACTTTTTACCTATGCAGGTTACAACATACAAATTACAATTAGGATGGTAGAAATAGTTGTTACAAATAGGCCAAGGAGTCGGAGTCGGAAGCATAAAAATTTGAGGAGTCGGAGTCGAAGGTTTTGTCTTCGACTCCACAGCCCTGGTACCTATACTGAAATTTTGAACAAAATCCATTTTTTGGCCGAAAATGACAAAAATTGTAAGTCTAAAGCCTTAAAGGATTTTTGGCCAAAAATACGTTTTCTCTCTGAACTAAAATTTAATGTGCCTAACTATTTAAGTACATCCAGAATAATACACAAGCACCAAGAAATGACCTCGAAAACCCATAAGTGGCGAGTAATTAGCATTGCAAAAGTAATTAAATTATTCTAAAAATCATTTGAACATTTTCTAAAAGCCATTTGAACAAGTTATAATCAAGATATCAAATTTTGGTTAACAGATCCTTAAGCAGCACATTCAGGAGTACCTATACTGAAATTTTGAACAAAATCCATTTTTTGGCCGAAATGACAAAAATTGTAAGTCTATAGCCTTAAAGGATTTTTGGCCAAAAATACGTTTTCTCTCTGAACTAAAATTTAATGTGCCTAACTATTTAAGTACATCCAGAATAATACACAAGCACCAAGAAATGACCTCGAAAACCCATAAGTAGCGAGTAATTAGCATGGCAAAAGTAATTAAAATATTCTAAAAATCATTTGAACATTTTCTAAAAGCCATTTGAACAAGTTATAATCAAGATATCAAATTTTGGTTAACAGATCCTTAAGCAGCACATTCAGGAGTACCTATACTGAAATTTTGAACAAAATCCATTTTTTGGCCGAAATGACAAAAATTGTAAGTCTAAAGCCTTAAAGGATTTTTGGCCAAAAATACGTTTTCTCTCTGAACTAAAATTTAATGTGCCTAACTATTTAAGTACATCCAGAATAATACACAAGCACCAAGAAATGACCTCGAAAACCCATAAGTGGCGAGTAATTAGCATTGCAAAAGTAATTAAAATATTCTAAAAATCATTTGAACATTTTCTAAAAGCCATTTGAACAAGTTATAATCAAGATATCAAATTTTGGTTAACAGATCCTTAAGCAGCACATTCAGGAGTACCTATACTGAAATTTTGAACAAAATCCATTTTTGGCCGAAATGACAAAATTGTAAGTCTAAGCCTTAAAGGATTTTTGGCCAAAAATACTTTTTCTCTCTGAACTAAAATTTAATGTGCCTAACTATTTAAGTACATCCAGAATAATACACAAGCACCAAGAAATGACCTCGAAAACCCATAAGTGGCGAGTAATTAGCATTGCAAAAGTAATTAAAATATTCTAAAAATCATTTGAACATTTTCTAAAAGCCATTTGAACAAGTTATAATCAAGATATCAAATTTTGGTTAACAGATCCTTAAGCAGCACATTCAGGAGTACCTATACTGAAATTTTGAACAAAATCCATTTTTTGGCCGAAAATGACAAAAATTGTAAGTCTAAAGCCTTAAAGGATTTTTGGCCAAAAATACGTTTTCTCTCTGAACTAAAATTTAATGTGCCTAACTATTTAAGTACATCCAGAATAATACACAAGCACCAAGAAATGACCTCGAAAACCCATAAGTGGCGAGTAATTAGCATTGCAAAAGTAATTAAAATATTCTAAAAATCATTTGAACATTTTCTAAAAGCCATTTGAACAAGTTATAATCAAGATATCAAATTTTGGTTAACAGATCCTTAAGCAGCACATTCAGGAGTACCTATACTGAAATTTTGAACAAAATCCATTTTTTGGCCGAAAATGACAAAAATTGTAAGTCTAAAGCCTTAAAGGATTTTTGGCCAAAAATACGTTTTCTCTCTGAACTAAAATTTAATGTGCCTAACTATTTAAGTACATCCAGAATAATACACAAGCACCAAGAAATGACCTCGAAAACCCATAAGTGGCGAGTAATTAGCATTGCAAAAGTAATTAAAATATTCTAAAAATCATTTGAACATTTTCTAAAAGCCATTTGAACAAGTTATAATCAAGATATCAAATTTTGGTTAACAGATCCTTAAGCAGCACATTCAGGAGTACCTATACTGAAATTTTGAAGAAAATCCATTTTTTGGCCGAAATGACAAAAATTGTAAGTCTAAAGCCTTAAAGGATTTTTGGCCAAAAATACGTTTTCTCTCTGAACTAAAATTTAATGTGCCTAACTATTTAAGTACATCCAGAATAATACACAAGCACCAAGAAATGACCTCGAAAACCCATAAGTGGCGAGTAATTAGCATTGCAAAAGTAATTAAAATATTCTAAAAATCATTTGAACATTTTCTAAAAGCCATTTGAACAAGTTATAATCAAGATATCAAATTTTGGTTAACAGATCCTTAAGCAGCACATTCAGGAGTACCTATCAGGGCTGTGGAGTCGGAGTCGGAGTCGAGGAGTCGGAGGAAATTTCGGCTTGTGGAGTCGGAGTCGGTAAAATTGTCCAGACTCCGACTCCGACTCCGACTGAAGCTATTCTGTTCCTAAGAACAAATATATGAACTCAGGCATATTCATTGCAGTGATTCCACTGATCCCACTAATTTTCTTAAATTATTAAAAGAATTTATTTCCATTTTATAAGCATTATTATGAATTTATTGTAGCAGGCACAGTATAGCACTATAATTTTGGACGATAGTCTCTTCTTTACCATTTGAAATTTTGAATTATATCAAATTTTGTTTCGTTGAAAACTGCACAGAGGCTCTCAGCTACAAAACAATTAGCTACAACCTGTTTTTGGTGAGATTAAGGCAAATTTAATTTAATAACTTAATCATGTAAGGTTTATCCATTTTCCTTAATAAGGTATTCATTTCTTTAATGTACATAAATATATAACTTTACTTTAAAAGGAATTGTAGGATCATCATTTAGATCCACATCAGATTATGAGCTTAAACAAAATTCATATGCTGAGATCGAACTTTTAGATATACATGTAAATGGTGTTTTCTAGTTAATATCTTGAATTCTTAATAAATTTATTTTTCTTTTGATCGAAACTTTGAAAGTCAAGCCTATCATCTTTTTGTAGTTCTTAAATATGGTCCAGATCATTAATAAAGCTGTAGCAGTATAGCCACGGTGTTTTACTTTTTACCTATGCAGGTTACAACATACAAATTACAATTAGGATGGTAGAAATAGTTGTTACAAATAGGCCAAGGAGTCGGAGTCGGAAGCATAAAAATTTGAGGAGTCGGAGTCGAAGGTTTTGTCTTCGACTCCACAGCCCTGGTTTTTACTGCAGTTTTTTAGAGAAAATACAACAATTATCTGCTGAATGAGGACTTTGAATGGGACAGGGGAAGTCTAGAAGCAGCAGAGCCAGTACAGGGGTCATGCCCATGGATTAAAAGAGAATAGGCAAAGAAAATGATTGATAAATAAAGAATGGAAAGGCTGCTGGTAGCTCTGTACCAGTCCAACAGGAAAAACCCTTCTCTAAAATTCAGATAATCACATAAAAAAAAGATAAGAACTGCCTAGTTGTGTTTTAATACAGGTATTTTGTTGGTTACTTACTGAATAATCTTTTGGCCATAAAAAAGACTATAAGACAAGATTCTCAAATTTAACATTTACCCTCTGACAATAAAAGCTTTTATTGTTACTTGAACCTTTACTACACACAGAGCAAAGCTTGTACAGTATTCAGTTAGCTTACCGAAGTTTTGTTGGATGTGATGGGGGGGATTTGGGTTGATGTGTGACAGGGGATGGTGGCTTCTTAGTGTCTCTACTGTAGTTACCAGAATGTTCTGGTGCAGCTATGACTTCTTCATCTGTATCTGTTTCTTGCTAAGAAGTAAAAAAAAAACAATAAAAAATTAAAAATTTGTCACTAAATATTTCATATTGTACAAACAATATAGTAGTGAGTCCATTGCAGTCTTTATAAAGAAGATTGTCATGAAATTGCACAAATGAATTTTAAAAATGAGGCTATGGACTAGCTGAGACTATTAGCCAGGAGTTTAAATTTGTCAAGTGAATATCAAAAGAGAGAGAGAGAGAGAAAAAAGACCATAAGGGTTTAAAAAATGTAGGACAGCATTAACCCTCCTTGAAATTCCTACAGTTGTTTCAGTGTTATAACAGATAGGGTTGATCTACAAAATTGCAAAATAAGAAACACAACAAATCCTATTTCCTCAATGTATGTTAACATCATATACTTCCTCTTGGGTGTTGGTGCTGGTTATGATATATGTCATGGTAAGATTTTCTGCTATAAGGTTGTGCTACAGGACAAGTGATAAAGAAAAGTGACGTTTCAGGATCCTGTTCATACAATACATCCTCAAAATGAACAAATGCATGAATAAATTTTTTATAAACTGTACTGACCATTATGGAGAATCTTTCATAAGAAATGTACTGTATAGTATTCCCTTAAAGCTCGCGGTTTTAAAGCTTACGTCCCTCGGAAACTCACGGATTGCCATGGAAAAGAAATAAAATAAATCTGAAGCTGGGTGTCAGGGATCAAGAGGAGTCAACACTACAGGGCAGTACAGAGCACCATATTTCCCAGGTCATAAGATGCACCTTGTAATTAGCAAGTTATATTTTGGAAAAATAATTTTTGCAGATTTAATAGTCTACTGTATTGCCAAATCACTGGCTGTATGCTATCATGTTTCTCACTACCACAGCTCAATATCACTTTATGGACCTATTATCAAATATTTGTTGGTATTATTAATAAAATTTACCTAATTTCATAAAAAAGGATATAATTATACATATAGGTAACTATGGGATACACATTACAAATATTTATAAGTACCGAGCATGTTCCAGTACGGGGATTGTTTACCTCCTGTGCACCTGTTTCAGAGGTATTGTCTTTCCATTGTCACTACCACAACTAACTATCACTGTATGGACCTAATGTCCATACAGTGTAATTTCATGTTTATGTTTGTTTATTTATTTATGTTATTTCATATTTATTATACTGTCTTATGCATACATAATGTTGTTATACATGTGCATGTAACTATTTATAAATGTATTTTGCACGTTCCTGGGACTGGCATGAAAACTCGCGGATTTTGCTTTCTCACTAGGTCCATTTTACCTAACCCCTGTGAGCTTTAGAGGAATACTGTATTTACTGTCAACAACTTTTAAGTAAAATATAACTTTCAATTATAAAATGAATAAGGAATATACAAACCGAATCATCAGTATCGACATCAAGGGAGAGTCCATCGTCAGAGTCAGGTTCTTCAACAGTTGGTGCTGAAGCCATCACTTTTCTGGGTCGACCTCTGCAATACAGTAGTAATGTCACTTACTTCTAGATCCGAGTCTCTTTAGTAAATCCATTTTCAAAATACAGCAACTTACTAGTCACCACTGCTTTTTTTCAAGCTCAATGCCATCAAATATTTTAAGTTATTGTCAGGCATAACCAAATGCAAGTGGTTATCTGTAAGTGTGTAATCTAATTATGAAAGAAGCACTGTGATGGATAATATGTACAAGAACACCCTGGGTGGTTAACAAATGAGTTAGGAACCAAAGGACCAGGTTGTAAGGTGAATGTTCGGAAGCCTAAAAATTTATTTCCCGTAGGAACAATGTAATTATGGGAGTTAGGTTCTGAACAGCCTCACAAAAACCAAATTTTGTTAAGTTTTCACCTTCACTAAAGATATGCATAGACCTGTGACTTTCATAGTACCTATAACTTACTAGCTATAAAGATACAATTTTATGTGTCCTTGTGAAATTCCCTAAATGCTGCACCTACAGGATTGATGAGCAACATCTTTACTTTTTGGATGCACAGCATTCAAGGCATCATACAAACTCAACATATTTAACATACCAAATTATTTTCAGTCATGAAAGTAATCATACACAATGCAGTATTTGGTCCATAATTTATATGACTAACCTGGGTCTTGGTGCACCACGTCCAGCTGCAGTAGTGTTAGTCGAGGATCCTTGACCCCTGCCACGACCTCTGCCTCTTCCTCTACCTCTGCCTCTTGATGGTTTCCCTTCCATCACATTTTCACCTGAGATGTACAGCTCATTTTAATATATAGAATATGTAAATCATGCAAGAGATGTGACACTTAAAGGTTAAAATGATATTAATCATAAAAACATGGGGAACTTGCATGCTTGACTTTGTTTGCCTCTTTCCTTTGCTGAGAGGTTTACTGTGGCAGATACTCAGACACTCAACTTCAGAGTGTCTTCGAGCAAAATTTCCATATCTCGCATTGGGAACACAGGGTATTACTATTATGCGTCTCAGCTTAAATTCCTACATCAGGGACCTCTCATTATCAAAATCCAAGTAGACAAGATGGAGGTGCTACAATGGCCCCAGGAATTAGGTAAACCATATACACTACTGCACACACACCGGCTCCTACTACCACCTGAGATCCCTAGCCCGAGAATCGCTGTTCGACACCACAACCCCATCCAGCCCATACGAGCACGAACTGATCGCTATAAGAACAGCCCAGTCCCAACCATTGTAAAATTATCAATAACTTGTAATAAACCAGTGTATTCTACTCCCAATAAATCCTACTTTTTGCACTGTCACTATGTTGAAAAGCCCTGTAGTTTGAGCTTTTCCCCACCTAGTTATTATATATCTTATTTGTATCACTTATGTTACTTGTATATTAATACAAGTAACCCATTCCCCCATTATGTCACTATATTTTCAGCCTTCTGGCTGCTATGCTCTTTCAATAAACCGTTAATTATTATTATTACGTATTTATTATTATTACACACACACACACACAAAGGCCAAGAATGTATTAGAGATCCCATACCTTTCAGGAAAAAAGCCATCGATACCCAGAACCAAAATTAATGGTGAACCATATATTCTCTCTGAGACAAGTCAGGTAAAATTGTCTCTGAAGTTGAGGACCATGTACTGTACCTACCCTACCATGCAGATCAGTAAAAAAAAAAAAAAAGTCCAAAGAACAGAGAAAAGAACTAAGGAGGTTACCACTACACAACCTAGAAACCCCAAGTGAACAACTACCAAACATAACACTAGCTTACCCATCATTAACCCTCTCATGGCATTTTGATGCAACTAAGTCCTCCCATGCTGGCTTGATCCCCCTCGCTCATCTGTATCTCACACTGAGAGTACTCCTCCCACAAGCAGAAATGAAGAAACAGTGGATCGGCCCTATCAATCACCTAAGCTCCTCCCACTAGCCTCGTGGGTTGGCAGAAGCATCTCTAAGGGTGCAATTTGGATCTGGATTTGCTCTACCCAATGTTCACTAAAATGGAAAAACCGTTTCTGTTACCGACGCAACCTACATCGAAAGGCTGTGAGGGGCTGAGATTTCCAACCATGGCCAGGGTTAACACATAAAGGAAACAAAGATGAAACTTCAGATATTTCAGACACAGAGCAAATAAAACTGATGATGAGGACAGATAACTGGATTTCCAATCAATTTCTGAGACAAAATAGGAACAGGAATTGAAAGAGGCTTCAGGAGAGGAGACTCATCCCAGCTAGGCTAAATGAGAGATCAAGCCACGAGAATATTAGTTGCACATGATTATATTTTGAGTCTAGGAAAGGTCCTATATATGAAAAATGTTTCAAGTCTCAGAAAGAACAAGACATTAAAGACATTCATTCACAAAACACAAAAATAGTTTCCATTTTCACCATCAAATTTTCTCCTACCAATTTCTCCTTTTAGTTGCAAAGGCATAAATTTCTCCTTTCATTCATACAAAAAGCATGTATTGTATGCCCCTACCTGATGGAGTTGGAGAATACTTATAAAAGAATGTGTGTGGAGATGGTGTTGTAGGTGCACTTCCTGGGTTTGAGAAGGAGGGAACAGGTGTCAAGGGTGTGCTGGGGGTAGGAGGTCCTGTATCCATGTCTCCATCAGCATTAATGTCTGCTACTGAAGCCACCAATTCTTGCAAAAAATCAAACCTCCTCTCTGCCATGATACACTGCTTTCTGTAAAGATTATTTTCTTCTGAATACCAGTAACAACACTATACAAATTGTGGTTTCAGTAAAGTTTTATCATTATTATTATTATTATCCAAGTTTTTAATTCTGATCTTTACCATAAAAATATCAGATTTCCATGATACCTTTTACTGTATTCAGCACTAACACAGAGTGTTAGGTGTAGAACTTATGCAGAATTTCCTACCACAAGTCAATCTAAATCCTCCCAAATTAATATTAAAACAACAATATCACTTGGTCACCATAATCTATTATTCTTTTTAAACTGAACATAACCCATAGAGGGATGTAAAGAGATGTGGAAATATTGTACTGCAATATTCAAAGGAAGTTCCAAATAAAAAAAACTTACAGTATACAGTACTTAGAAAACATCTATTAACAGATAAGATATTCAATGATTAACATCAAAATGATAAAAGGGAACCAGGTTGTGTCAAGTGCAGTGATAAACAATCCAGCAATACATGGAACTGATTAACATAGAATAAACATTCATATAAACAAATACAGTACAGTACAGTACTCCAAAATGCTGCTATTACAGCAAACAGATTAGAGAACAACACAAAGACAGATGACTCATTATATTTACAAGTGGGCTGGGGTCAGAGTTCTGGCATGGCGTGCAGTGGTGATCTCACCCGCTCTGGTCAGCAGTGATTGCACAAAGAGCTCGAGGCCTCGAGGTGTTCATAGTTAAGGAGTTTTGTCGATCAGAATGATTCATTTGCAGTAACATTTCCCTAGCTTACATTAAAAATTCAAGTGCACTCAAATTCATAAAAAAAAAAAATACAGTAATAAGAACACTGGTTTGTAAAATTCAAAAACTTGTCTACTGTACTGGGATCCTGTACTATCACCTCATGAAAAATTCTCAAAATGGGCACTTAAGCATGAAATCCCAACACAGTATCCAAGTGAGGGGAAGAAGCACATGAGTTACAAGACACATGCTGTTTATAAACTGGTAGTGAATCATTGTAGAGTACAGTACACACTGAATGTTGGGAGTGACAACAGGTGGTCCATAATGGCTCAAACTCCTCATATCCACATCTGCTAACAAAACCATGAAATGTCCAATGGTTGCTTGGTTAATGAACTGATAACAATCCCAATAGGAAACTCCTGATGGTGACTAGAAGTGTGTTTCTTATTATTTTAAAATACGGAAAACAAAATAAAAAATTGGGGGAACCTTCAATACCTCACTAAACACAATTTTAATACATAACATTATTTTAGAAAGATTGGAGAACTTATATCATAGCCACTCCATCCTCTACTTCTCATTATTATTATTGTAAGTTAGGGGAATTCACTTACTATACTGTAAAGTTTTATTTAATACTCAAAAGGTATCCCTTGCTATAAGATTGGGTTAGATTCCTGAACTTTTTTACTTTTTACCTTTATCCTCTTCACCACTGATTGGCTCATTAGCTGCTTGGGCGATCAGTCATGTATCTGTTATACCATTGGCAAGTACTGGGCATGTACTAGCTCCTGAATATATCTCAACCTGCTCCAATGCTTGTATGTTACATAAGAAAAAAAAAATTCGAATTTAAGGAGTTTATCCAATTAAGTGTTTTCAGCATAACACAAAACACCAAAACGCAGAAACACATAGTTGGCGAGTAATTAGCATTAAAATGTGTCATTAAATTTTTCCAAGCATAATTATGACCACAAATTATCCTACAATTGAATCGTGGACCACAGATTCAGAATCAGCATGCTTAGTAACATAGAAGGGTCACATTTCCATGTACAGTAGCTAAAACAGCTATCTGTGCAGGTGGGAATCCATAATGCTCCGAAATTTTACGTGTGACTAGTGACAGCGCTCATATACCAAAATTTATCGTCCATGGTATCATATTGTTTCCCACAAAGTATGGACAGATAGTTGTTTTAGTTACTGTACACACACTGCATTGTCACCTTTATCTACATGGCTTACTTCACACTACCCAAACCGCCCAGTTAACCCATAGTCAACTAGTGGGCACACGAGGCATGAGATGGCTCCTGATTGGTGAAAAACCATCACCAGCTGTTGGGGTTTCCATCTATGACAGGTGACGTCTACCCTAACTCTTGAGGTTCCAGGACAGTCATACTCTCCCCACCTCGGTGACCAGTTCTCTCTGCCTACTCTGTCGTGAAGTTGAGCGACTGTCACCTACCCCTTTGCAGATGCACAGCGGGATCTACTGGCCAGCTATTTGTAAGGTATAGAAGTACAGCTATACTATTTTCACCCTTGTATATGTGTTTTGTGTTAATTTTGTTTTAAGAATATTATAAAAAATCACTTGCATATTTTTCATGTCCTACTGTTTATACTATGTTGGGTGTTGTGAAGTCAACCATGAGTGTGGTGTCAAATATTCAACTCAGCTAAGTAATGCTATAATAACTAAACCTACAGTAAAATTTAATAACTAGAAAAGTTCACCCAGCGCATTGCCCAGATATCCATCCCACCTACCTGTATGTTTGAAGCTACCCAGCTGATTCGAGTTAATGATGATGTTTGGTAACTTGTTCCACTCATCCAACACTCTATTTCCAAGCCAATGTTTACCTATCTCGCACTTAACTAAATTGTCTAATTTAAAACCATTGCTATGAGTTCACCCCATTTTTATCTTTATAGTACTACTGTACTGCATACAATTTTTCTTTTATTCATAAGACAAATTTTGTGGTTACTTACATATAACACTTTACAGTATATGACATTCATCTCAGTGGAAACAATTGTCTACAAACCAGACTTGTCTGATTTTCAACTCAGAGTTCTAATTCACATTTTTTATTGTTGATATAATAGTGTTCTAATACAGGTAACCTCATTATGCACTTAGAAAGAAGCACAGTAACAACATTATAACAACACCCGATTTTTCACCACCCCCAATAGATTCGCTTTCTTCGGACCGGGATCTGCCACAACTAGTCTGATTTATCGAGGTTCTGCTATAATCAGGTAATACTGTTAACATATAAAAAGGATATAGATGATAAGCAGCCTGAGCCACCTTCCCAACTTCTTCATCTGTCTGCATTATCTTCTTGATTCTCGCCTGTTAAGAAAAAATTTACAGTAATTAAATGTCAAACTTATAACAATGGTTCTTAAGTTACATACATAACTGTACAGTATTTCAATATATAGCTATCCTAGGATGGTGGTACTTTACAGTACTGTACTATATTATTATTATTAGGCCATGGCTAATCGTACTGACAAATTTTCACGCTATATCTTGTTATAGCAGAGAATTGCATGATTCTCGTAAAACTTACCTAACTTCAAGCTGAGGTGTGACAAGCAAAATTTTTCAGCCATTGCATTAAGCCTCAAATATTGAGCAAAATGAGACCAAAACTGTCCACTAAACTAGCAACATTTCAATGACAAGTTCACCGCCATTCCTCAACTTTGAACACTGGTCACATGAAGCTGTGAGATGGTGTGGGGAGGACATCTGAATGTTGTGACAGGAAATGATGACCATTACTTCATGGAAGTGGATCTTTTGCCGTGACCGGCTAAGTTCCTACTAACGCTTCACCGTTAGTGCGCTCTGATTGGCTAATCGTCCATTACCGAAAAAAATGTGAGAAGTACATTTGACCGTGACTGGCAGCATTTGGTATTTATTTCTCTGTGAGGTGATCGTAGAAGCTGTAAACATACCAAACAATATTTCTGTTGTGTATGGAAAGTTATCATTATAAAACAGGTGACAATTATTACCTTAGAACCTAATAGAACCTGACCTTATCAACCAAAGAAACCTACCTAACTTTCTATCCGAGGACCCGACACCGCCCCCCGATATTTAACAGAAATTTAGCCAATTAAAGATTATGGTAAATACCAATACCAGACGCAAAATATCCACATGATTTATTGCTCTTTATCTAATTAATTCGGGTGATAACAATTATATAATATGTATTTAGCCCACATTCATATAACAAGTATTGTCTCTATACGTGAGAGAGAGACAAATACAGTAGGGTCGGGATATATCGCGACTTTACATAACAATGTTTTTTGTATCGCAGCTACCAAAATTTTCCTATATATAGCGATAATTTTTTTTTTATTTTGCCCATTAATTACATGTAATTAAATATCGTGATTTAGTATATAGCGAACATCGTTGGACCTCATCTCGCGATATATCCCGACCCTACCTGAGACAACTCCTATGGTCAAGCAAGAAGCAACATGCAGGAGCTTCAAACCGTGACCTTCACTTGTGATTAGATAATTAATATGGTATTTGATAGTTCAATGACTTTTTTTGTTAATTCACCACACAGGGCATAACCTAACTACCACTTCTTAAACAAAGTCAAAGTGTTTGTCATCCTTTTCCCCAGGATGGATAAAAGCATTCTAAACAATGATTTTTGTGGAAATTCATTAGAGAATAAAGCAATACTTATGATAGGAGCCTCAAAGACACCATTACTTACAGGTGGAAATCTTGCATTATATTTCTTCTTTTTTCCTGGCATTGTGATTGATGATAACCTATATCTCTCAATGCACAGAGGTAATAAACTTATTTAAATCAACACAGTAATGTCAGCTTGAAGACTGAGGCGGGAATATACTTGACATTTACTGATGCCAACACCACTCAACAGACGCCCCTCACCGCTGATCTTTTATTTTTACCATAACATTACTCATATTTTATAGGTAATCTTCGTTGTAATTCCACAAATTAGTGAAGGAAATGAGAATATGAAGGGAATAATAGTGGCAGGGACAGTTCCTCCCTCACCCTCCACCACCAACAACAACGGTGTCATTATTTTCACCACACATAACACTACAAACCTCTATAACTATTTAACCAATCATGTATTAGTATTTCATAATAATTTTTCAAAGTTTTTCTGTATTATTCTGAGATGGTAATAGTTTATTGATATTTATAATGGTATATTTTTCTCAAATATTTGGTGAAAATAATCGGGTGGATAAAAATTTAAATAAGTTTGTCAGATTTAATTTATACCAAGAAGATATATAGTAGATATTTACTATATTATTATTAATAATTTTATAAGTAATATTATTTTAATGCAATTATTTATAAGTTATCTAAAGGGACAAATATTTATACCAAAAACCTGAGGAAAGTTTCATCAGGTGATCGATCCTCATCTCTTGTCAGTAGTGAAGCGGATCACAGATATTTGTTTTTTCCTCATAGACCAAGGTAAACCAAACACAATATAAACCATTTGTTGAAAAGAAACACTTACTCATTATGTTTCTGTTCCATCGGTTTTAATTAAAAGTCTTAGTTATGAGAATGAAACAGTGTAGTGCCAAGATATTTTCTGCCAGGTGTCTAATATTTTCTTGCTTTATTTATAACTAACTGAGTCAAATATTTCTGTATTTAATGAGAATTGGTGAGCTGCTTCATTCATTTAATGCTCTTAGTTGTAATCTTGGGTGTTATGACAAACTATTTTCACACCATCTTGATATTGTAGGTATTTGGTTAGGTTAGGTTTTGTAACTACTGTAATTTTCTGTGGAGATATATCTGGATTATATTAAAAATGTTGGTTATGAAGAAATTATTCATGTAACTGGATATTAATTTTTGTTTACCAATGTCAAGGTTATTGGAGAATCATTCAGTAGGTTGATTATCCCAACTTCCCCAGACAGCGTAAAGCTGTGCAGCCAGCTATGTGGATGGATTCTACATTTACCTTCTTGTCATTGTTGCGATTGGTAAGTAAGGTCTCTTATGCTCATTAAAGTCTCTCACTGTTTTTGCCTTAAGAATATCATAGCATTTTATAGTAAGCTCTCCTATAGTGCGTGATATAGCACAATTTGTTTATAATTTGGTAGATTTTTGTAATTATTAAACAATTTTTTATTCAGTATTATTAATCTTTAGTTGTCAAATTATGTTACTCATTGTCACATGATACAGTTCCCCAATGTCATTTTAGGAGATCATGGATATTTAATGAATACTGTTGTAGTTTATTTATAGTTATTGTGAATGAGAAATATATTTACATCGAGCTTATTAATTTTTTTTTAACCACCAGCTATTGGCTACACCATCACTGGCCAGGGTGAAAGGATCGACTTTGGTTGGTTCCTGTCTGGAGTCTCCCCATACTTCTGGGGGTCAATGATTGGCTTGACCGTCTCTCTCTCAGTAGTTGGAGCTGCCATGTAAGTAAACCACGAGTTGACAGACCTGTAAAACAAGATCACAAAACTATTAATATTTCAGAGCCAAAAATATATTTTATCTTGGTTCTCTGTCAGTACATATCCTAAAATATATAGAGTTGACAGGCACATTTTATTTTTTACAGTGTAACTTTGTGTGGATGATTATATGGTATATATGTGTGATTCCTGAGTGATAGATAAAAGTGTTTTGATGGTTCTGAACATTGATTTTGATATTTGTCGAATCTTCAGCATGATATTACAGTATTTGATATTGATATAAAAGATATGTGGGAAAAACGTGTTGACTATTTCTTTTTGTTTTTGTGTCAAGCAACGGCTCGCATGTTACCCTTTTAAAGTCTTGTACAGTCTCACTAAATTCAAGATGGCTGTACTAAACATTGATCTCACAACAAAAAATTAAACTTAAAACATAGGGTTTGTTGGGAAACCAGAACCACAGATTTATTTTGATTATGACTTTAATTAGCCAAACCAATCATAACCTAACCAAATCCTATAAAGTATTCAATTGCCTAACACAAGCTTCAGTAACAACTTGAAGGCAAGGCAGTGGCATGTAGGTATGGCATCACGCAAGATACTTAACAATTCAAAAATTTTCAAGAAATTAAAAATTTCCTCAACCACTTTATATTTTAGCTTGCGGAGATATCATCTTGGCATATTGTCCCGAGGGAGATGAAGTCCTGCAAAACAAGACTGGTATTGGATGATAAATAGTATTCGTGCACCATAATGTTGATGGAACCAAGAATTTTTGATCTGATGTGAAGCAGTAGTGGTTAATTTGAGTGAAAAGTGGCTAAATCATTGTCTCTGTTATGTATAGTAAAAAAAAAAAACTAAGAAATTGCAGGTTTAAGCAAAACTTTCTTGTGTAAATTTGTTTTCTCAAAAATTTCTGATAGCGTCATTGAATTCAACAGGGGCATCCATACTACGGGAGTGAGCATCGTTGGTGGTGGTGTTCGTGCCCCTCGTATCAAGACCAAGAATCTCATCTCGGTTATCTTCTGTGAGGCTGTGGCTATCTATGGACTTATTATTGCCATCATCCTTGCTGGTATCTTGGAGGTGAGTGGTTTTATTTTGCTGCAGTGCTGCTTCCACGGAGTGAAAAAAAATGGCTTATTGACCTTTATATTATTTAATAATGTAATACCTTTATATTATTTAATAATGTAAGCTTGGTGGAGACCCAAGCAAGGAAGGAAAGAATCCAAATAAGTGGAGGAGAAAACAACAACTTTGGCCAGTGATGTGAGTTTTGTACTGTACACTAGAAAAGGTTTACTTTGTTTTATTGCTGATTTTACTCTCCAACTTGCTGTATTTTTCTTTTAGGAATACTCTGAAGAGCAAGCAGCAACCAGTCAACTAATTTTTGAACAGAACCTTCTCTCTGGTTACCTGATGTTTGCTGCCGGTCTGACTGTGGGTCTTACTAACCTCTTCTGTGGCCTTGCTGTTGGAATAGTTGGTAAGATGATCTTCTCAAGTAATGGAACTTTGTGTAGTGTTCTTTTTTAAATAAAAATTGTTTTTGCTATATCTGTCACATTAAATATAAATGTTGAAGTATATGAGAGATGTTGTGTTTGATACATGCAGCTGAAGTTGAGAATACAATACAGTACTAGCAAGATAAATTAACTGATTGTTCCAGACCTGTTGGTCTCGGAATCTTTTAAATATGACAATATCTTTGTGAAAATAACTAAAGGCATAAATAACTTGAAAATGGTTATTTATACTGGGCACATTTCACAAAGATATTGTTATGGTATGGTACGTTGTTGTTTGAGGGAGTGTATAAAAATTGCTCTACATTTTACACATAAGATGGTTCACATATTATATATTTTTAAATGTAATATAACAATCCACAGGATCATCTGCTGCACTGGCTGATGCTGCTAATGCCTCCTCCTTTGTGCGTATCCTGATTATAGAGATCTTCGGGAGTGCTATTGGTCTCTTTGGGCTTATTGTAAGCATATTGCAGGTAAGCTCCTGTTATACTGTATATTACTTGTACCATATTATACTTCTTGTTTTATTTTCCTTTAATCTGGAGTAAAGGTAGATGATGTATAAGAGGTTTAGCATAGAAAATAATATATGTGGCCATTATATTTTGGCCTTATGGGAGTAAGGTCAAAGCCATTAATGACATGGAAAAAATTTAATTAAATTTCTAGGCATTTTTTAACTACTTTAAATAAATGAGATCTATATTTCTCTGTATATTTTCATCCATTCCAGACTACATTTTCTGATAATTCATTCCATTTCTCTGTCTAACTCAATAAATTACTCCATAACACTTACATGTCACACCTTCTACTCGTGTCCTTTCAGGCACTTCTGACTTTAAATCCACTAATCCACTTTCTCTTATCATGCCTTCACTCACCCTGATGGACATTCATGCAGTCCAATATTGTTCTCTGAATCATCTTATTTTCGTAACTGAATACAGTACTAGTTATGGTTTCCTTGTGTACTTAAAATGTATGCTCTCCTGTACAATGTGTTCTGATCTTTGTTTTTGTTTTTCTTACAGACATCCAAAGCCAAGATGGGTAATAAGTTCTAGTTAGGTCTTATTAAACTTAAAAACATTCCTTATATTGTTAATAGTTCATTAGGTGATGGAGTGAATGCACTTCTCCCAGATTTCTAAATTAATGTTCAGTTGGATTTAAATGATTTATTGAATATAGCTGTGGCACAAAGCATAAACAGTGTTGATTATATTCCATACCTATGATAGTATACTTTCTTTTGTGAAATATATGACCAGTATTCTTGTTAAGGCAGACATTTAGGCATTTTTGAATGCAGCAAGATTTAATTTATATTATTGGGAAGTTATTCACTTCTGGTAATCAAAAACCAATGTATTAATTAAATGCACTCAGTAACAATAGAGAGGATTTAGAGAAATTTGCAATTATTAATTTTCTCCTAGTTTGTGGGTGATTGAGACAAATAGGCAATGCAAGTTGAATGCAGCGCGCAGTCCGGGTTGGTTAAAAAGTATTTATTTTGTTGAAACATCAAAATCAGTTTCTCAAGTTCACTTTAAAATCTTGTTCCAGTAGGATGGTAAAGTCCTAGGGAGTATTTATGCAGTACTACTATAATGTTGCTATTTGTGGTTACAAGTATTTTGGAATTTTACTAAATGTCAATAGCTTGTGGATATTTTTTGTGAGAATAATGGTTTACTTATTTCCAGAAACACTTGTATAGTTGTCGTCAGTTTGTCAGAGGGAGCATAATTTTGACAGGGTTAGTCCAATCACCTTTATCCCATAATAAAGTATTGTTAATGGTAATTATTGTACATTTTGTCTTAGTAAAAGGGAGTGTGAAACTACCCCAAGTGAAAATGCCATTGAAAATGATACCTGCTTGAAGTGAATGCACCTCAGTGGTATTTGCCTGTTAATATTGTATTTATGCTCTCTTTATGTGAGGTATTTTCCAGGACATTTTTATTTTTATCAGAGTTTAGCAGTAGTTTTTGCTGTAACTTTGTGTACAGTTATTGAGCTCATTGTGAATGGTGTAATCTTGTAAGTTTTGTATATAATATTATGTAGTACTAGCCCTGTATATCTTTATTGTTGTGGGTAAACTAATGTGAATAAAAGGATTATTGATCTATGGGTAAACTTATGTGAATAAAAGAGGATTATTTAATTGGATTCACTTATATATATCCTAAATTTACTGTATGGATTAAAGGTTAGTGGCAGTGATTTATTGAAATATATCATATTATGATGAAGTGCACTTATTGGAAAATTTTCTTAGGAAATAGTATATATGGTAGTACTGTACAGTGCTGTACTGTTATGCCATATGGCAATCTGCCACATATATGTTGATGCAGGGTTTGCACCCTCTGGAAAAAGCAAGGCAAAAATAATTTTAGTAAAAGTCTGAATTTTGCAAATGTTCAGACATTTTTTGCTGCTCCACTCTTTTTGTGATTGCATAAAATCCTTGACTGTAGGGTACTGTACTGTATAGCTAAAGCAGTCTTCTGTTTGCATACTGTAATATATCATTAATACAATTTGATTGATTAAATTCATTATTTTTCATATATACAGGTAAATATGTACTACATTCATCATAAAATGTTGCATATTTCTTAACTTATCAATAAACTTAGTGAATGGCTGAGGGGGTCAGCCCTCATTGATCCATTGTACTACTGTACTCACAGAACTTTTAAATGCACATGTGGTTTGTATGTGTAGTGTTATATTTTAAGTTGGGGTTGAGAACTGCTACCCCCATTAGCCTCCAGCCCCGTAATAGAAATCACAGATCTGCCACTGGTAGGTAGAGAGTTCGATGAATGATGACGAAACATGAATAATGGGAAGTTCCTCGTACTAGGGTAAGTCACGAAAAACAAAGACACGTGTTGCAACTGGGGCAGGACGATAGGTTGGATTTCATTGGAACCCTGCTATACAGTACAGTACTGTATCTCACATTGATTAAATAAATTCAGGTAATATCAGTATCAAGTTTAATAATATCTTTTACTCCATCATAAATATATGAGCTTAATTGAATACAGTACAGTCACAATCCAAAGTTTCGAACCCCCCCCCCCCCGGTTGGGTGTTCGCCGAGGCCAGGGTTGAGGTAAGGTTGTAAGGTTGGGTGATCGGACGCAGACTAGTTCAGCAATGTGGTAATGAGGCACTACAATAGTGAGGTTCCCATTCCACCACAACAACACTCCAAGACTCCTAGCACACGAGCACAGGAAGGAATTTATTACCATCTTTGACATGGTATGAACTTGCATAACAAATGCATAACATTGTTGCCACACGTAACAATAACATGTTAAGATTGGAGCATGAGAAATTTTGCCCTGTCCCAAAACACTGGCTTGGAACCGCTAGATGCGAGTGCTCGTATTACACATGAATCATCAGGGCAGCATATATAAAGGGTGGCCGGCGGCCGAATTTCGTCAAGAGGGAGTGAGCGGTCAGTCGACAAGGTGAGGCCTATACATGTACAGTATAGATATTACCATAACCCTGGGAATATTATGGTTTCACACATACTAGGAATTCATATAGTCATATTTACAATATTTAATGGTGTATCAGTAACACATTGGAGTATTTTGGCTTGGAATGTTGCAATTCACATAAATCATGGTATCGCCTAAACAATTTTTGTCTGGTCTTGAGCAGCGACTTTGCCGAAGACCTCGACCCTCAGCGTAGATGCCTGGCCGTGTGTCATCATTAGTGACTACTTCTTGGTCACTTACCTTGTTTCCTGTCTACTGCTGCTTTTAGTTTTTAAATTTCATTTCATAATGTCTCGGATTATGAGAGTTATGGCACAGAGGAAACTAATATTACAACTAGTTATGCATATGATTATTTTTTATTTTTCACCTGAATGATAAATATCTATGACATCCTAATCATGGTGTTTGGTAACTTGGAGCTAATTTCCAACACGATACTTAGTCCATCAACATGTGATGTTTATCAATATTCATATTTCATAACTGGGTCGAGAACAACCGAAGTTTCTCATGCCTCACTCCTAACTTGCTATTGTTATGTGTGCCAACAATGTTATGAATGAAATTTTGTTATGCAGGTGCATGTCACATCAAAATTCGTAAAAATTTCCTTCCATGCTCGTGTGCTGTGAGTCTCGGAGTGTTGTGGTGGTGGAATGTCTGCATCCGATCACCCAGCCTTACCTCACCCCTGGCCTCAGCAAACACCCAGCCAGGGGGGTGTCGAAACTTTGGATAGTGACTGTACTGATAATAATTGTTCTATAAATGCACGTTTCGGAATACCCGTATTTTTCTTAGGGAGTGGGGGGCGGGTTCCTTGTTCTATCAGCACTTGTGATAATCGCATAAATACAGTATTACATACAAACACGTATACGTACAAGCAAATACTGTACACATAAAACATAATTACACTGACACGATTTTCAGCTTTGGAACTGATGAACTTTTTCAATAAAGCATTAATTATTATTTTTATTATTACCCGGTATGACACACACACAAATGTAAAAAAAAAATATATACCCACAACTTCAACTACAGGTATACACAAATACACACACAGAAACTAAACAAATATAAACACACTTAATCAATTTATACACCAGTTTCTAGGTCGCTGAATTCTTCATTACGTCATTTACTTCTCAAGCTGGAGAGACAAGTCATTTGTTGTGATGAAGTTTAAAAAAAACATGACTGCTAATATGCCGTGTAAATTTTGCCTCGAGATTCTTCCCTACGTAGATGTGATCTCAAATCTCTAGTTATGAGGAAAAGTCAACATGTGAACTTTTGTGATTCTGAAACGTGGTGTCCCCAGCGGCAATACGTGAGTGATATACAGGTCACAGGTATAGTGGGGTGTGTGGTGCCCAGGACCGCCCCACCACCACTACCAATTGTGTCGTCTTGTTTATCACGCACTAAATGTACCATAACTCCCACCTCGGGTATCATTATGGTGATAGCAGGTTTTTGTGTCGCCAGCCTCCCACACCCACACCACATCAACGGTAACTCTCTCTCTTGTGATAACCAATTCCCGAGTAAATGTTTATAAAAAATATGTAGGCAGACCAAAGCAGCTGTGGAATAGGTGAAGCTAAATGTTAGATTTATAACCATCAGGAGCTTTCAGTGCCAGGTATCCATTAACATTTAGTCAGTGTATGCAGTTTTCTTAATCAGTATAGTAATATCAAGAAAATAATCCTATTGTTGCAACATGTAAATGCAAATCTGCGCAAGAGTAGACACCATGCTCGCCTTCAACCTTTCCAAACAAACTGATATAATAATACCCAAACTACATAACCTTGCTGTACTCAGCCATGACACAGAGCCTACAGTACAGAGCATGAATTTCACAGCAAAAGCAGAGGTAATGAGAAGGCAACGGGACAGCTGATATACTCATTATTAATTGTTAAAAAAACATTTATGTTAGTTTAAATTAATTTGTAATAATACGAATATTTTATTACGTATATTGGTTACAAAATAATTTGTCGTTAATAGTTCAGTCAGCTGGGATGCAAGGTACCTGTTGAGAGGTTGCCCAAACTCTTCTACTCTTTAAAACATTTTCTTGGTGTTTTATTCATATTTGTGGAAAATTTTAATTTAGTGTATATTAATTATTTTCGTAACAAAATAGTGACATTGATGTATGAATTAGTAACTGTGTTTGTAGTGTTACATACTGTACTCGCCCCCCCCCGAAAAACCCCGGCTACTAGGCTATAAAGTCTTCCTGTCCAAATCGTTCTTATTCTGATCTGACAAGAGAGAATACTGAATCATGGAAAGAAGGCTTAATAGAGCCTTCCTCAGCTGTGTGAAGGTTTTGGTAAAGAAATTCAAATGATCTGTCAGTAATTCTCCAAAATATACTGTATATATGGAATTAACAGAAGACTTAAAACGTATTTGAGAAAATGAAAATTTATGACTAAAACAACAACATTAATAACAAACATATATAAAATTATGTAAATGGAAGAGAGTAAAGTTTTAGTTTGCGCTAAAGTATAATCATTGTCGTTTTCTTTGCAAGGTTTCATTCGTAAACTGATGAAATCTATGGTTTCTCCAGGTCCATTGATCGGTTCCAGTTTCTACTTGGTGAAACTGAGGTTTTTATTAAGTCTTTATTTATTCAATTTGTGGTTTTGTTTTCTGTCTATATTGTGCATTAAGAACACGTCTTTATGAAACTGTTACAGCTGAATCACCTTAAGTTATTTTCTGTACACAACCAGTTTGGTCATCCATCGAGGGTCAAGGTCATTGTCTCCTAAAAGGGTCACTACTTGACCGCCCACAACTAACCGTCACGCAAAAAAAAAAAAAAATCATTTCGGCTCAGCGTTTAAAGATTGCAAATACTTTACCCGTCTAGTTTAAAATTCCATATTCTTAACTCTAATTTCTTTGCCCTAAGAGTCATTTCTTAATAGTTTTTGAGGGATGAAATATACAAATTACACAAAATTACTCTGGTGTCATTATCAAAGAATCAACCTCTTAAACTGTTTGAAATTGCCTTTGGTTGAAAGAAATTCTTGATATAGCAGCTTACATCTGTGGAGATTTGTAGTTGATGGGGCTGAAAATGTAATGCCTAACAAACTCTTGTGTAGGTGTGTGAAAGTGTGTGTATGTGGGTTTGGATGAGTGTTTTCAAATGAGTGCATGTATATGTGTGCGCAAGTTTTGTTTTTGTGTATGTACAATATACTTGTCTATTTATACAATACAAAACAGAAGCTTTTGAAATTAACAATATAGTAGTGTCCTTATTTTATCTTTATTTCAACACTAGAAAAAAGTGAGACACTTTATACTGGCAGATTAAAGCATAAAGTCTTATACGAGTGTGGAGAGGAGAGCGGCGGGCCGGGTATTACTACAATTTCTCTCCCAGGAGGACACAGCCGCCACCCCTCACCCCTCCCCTCCCTCCTCGCGTCTCTTTTTATTTTTAATTTTTTCATTCATTTCTTACCTCTGTATCTTGACTGTCTGTTTCTCTGGCTTTGTCTCTAACATTTTTATATACCATTTCTAACTATAATTTCGATTTATTAGAATTATTTTATAAATTTAATGTATTTCTTTG